AGTATAACAATGCCTTTTGTAGTCAAGAACAGGTAATTTAACCCAATTCCCTTCCTCTTGAGAGCAACATTTAGGTCAGATTCCCTGTTGAAGATTTGCTTCGCAACTTTTTATCTCCCAAAGCCAGAAGCTGAAGAGAAAGAAGTAGAAAAGGCCCAAAACAGAAATAAAATATGCACAACAGAAACATCGCAGAAACATGCTCGTATTAGTCCAAATTATTTAGTAGTTAATTAACCGGGTCCTCTATTACCATGTTCAGAGTACAGTCAAAATGCCCCATATCTCCAACCACCACATAGATATTTAGTTTACTAGGTTAACAACTAAGGTCTTAACATCACCAAAAGACGATGCTGCAACAATCCACAGAGGAACAGAAGGCTTGCACCAGACTCCGGACTTTACAACTGCACAAGGTTCGACCACATCAAATACGGTGTCAGAGATCAGAAAATGGTTCATATCATCATTTACAATGTAACCTTGTGCAGCAAGAAAAACAACCAGTTCTGATCAATTTGTAAAACAATACACTCAAATAAAGCAAAACCCATATTGTATTCCTTGCATGATATTCTCACTGCTACATTTACAAATTCCAGACAAGGGGAAACAGATATTGTCCCACGATCAACACAGATCGATCCATCTTTTTCACCTTATTTTGGTGTTCTCCAACATATACTACTCATTTATGAACTCAAAACTTCCAATTAACTTTTGAACTTGCAGCCAGTCTTTCTTTGTTGGAAGTTTTGAGTTCATAAATGAGTAGTATATGTTGGAGAACACCAAAATAAGGTGAAAAAGATGGATCGATCTGTGTTGATCGTGGGACAATATCTGTTTCCCCTTATCTGGAATTTGTAAATGTAGCAGTGAGAATATCATGCAAGGAATACAATATGGGTTTTGCTTTATTTGAGTGTATTGTTTTACAAATTGATCAGAACTGGTTGTTTTTCTTGCTGCACAAGGTTACATTGTAAATGATGATATGAACCATTTTCTGATCTCTGACACCGTATTTGATGTGGTCGAACCTTGTGCAGTTGTAAAGTCCGGAGTCTGGGTGCAAGCCTTCTGTTCCTCTGTGGATTGTTGCAGCATCGTCTTTTGGTGATGTTAAGACCTTAGTTGTTAACCTAGTAAACTAAATATCTATGTGGTGGTTGGAGATATGGGGCATTTTGACTGTACTCTGAACATGGTAATAGAGGACCCGGTTAATTAACTACTAAATAATTTGGACTAATACGAGCATGTTTATGCGATGTTTCTGTTGTGCATATTTTATTTCTGTTTTGGGCCTTTTCTACTTCTTTCTCTTCAGCTTCTGGCTTTGGGAGATAAAAAGTTGCGAAGCAAATCTTCAACAGGGAATCTGACCTAAATGTTGCTCTCAAGAGGAAGGGGAATTGGGTTAAATTACCTGTTCTTGACTACAAAAAGCATTGTTATACTAAAAACATTGTAAGTTTTAGATTATAGTACCAAATCTCTGAAGCACATGATTACATACTGCTGTTTTCAGGTAGACAAATTAAACTAAACCATTCTAATTCCTTTCAAGCATCTGCTATCAAGCCGCCATCATTCCGTAATACACTCATTTCATCATACTTATTTTTGGGGGAAAATCTTCACAATGACAAACCAGCTTTTGATCAACTCAGTGAAGCAAAAGACTCGAATGTATTATGAGAGGCTTAGGCTCCGTTTGATAATCACTGAATTCTAAATCTTAACACTGAAGTCTGAAGACTGAATTTACATTGTTTGATAAAAACGTCTAAATATGATGTCTGAAGACTGAAGTTTGAAGACTGATTTTGAATACTCATGTCTGAAATACTCATGTCTGAAAGTTATTTAAAATTTTAATAATTGAATTATAAACAAAATTCTTTTAAATAGAAATATAACTAATATTTTGTTTTAAATAATAAAATAATAATTTTAAAATAAGTTTTTGGTATATATAATAAAAGTAAATGTTATACTTGATAAATAATCAATATATAATTAAATTTAGATTATTACATATATGTGTATACCTTGTTATTTAGCAAATTTCATGTATTAAAATTAGTTTAATTTGAGTTTGAAAGTTTAAGATCTTTTATACTCATAAAATAAATTCAACTTTAAGCACTCTTAATTAATTTATCTTAAAAAAATAAAAATTAAAAAAAAATGTAAAAATAAGCGACAAAATAAAGACGAGGGAAAAAAAGAAAAAAAAAAGGAAAAAGAAAAGAGTCATCACAGAAATTAAGTGATAAGTGATAAGTGGTAAGTCTATCACTTATTTTCTGGCTCACAATTGAACTGGTCATTCAGACGCACTTAATTAATTCAGACAGTGAAATTTTAGTTATCAAACGCACTTAATTTATAAGTACTTAATTTGTTCAGAACTTAATTCATTAAGACTTTTTAATAGCAATTATCAAACACACTTAATTTCATTAAGTACTTAAATAAATTATAAGTCATTACATTAAGTGATCATCAAACAGAGCCTTAACATTTAGAGGATCCTAAAGATGTGTTTAGCTGACCACTCATTTAATTTTATTTATGCGTTGGTCTCCTTTTTTACCAAAAAAAAAAATGAAGTCTAAACATTGGTATACACACAGAGGCTTTTCTTAAATTCAAGTGAGATGAATATTACATTTAGACTCGTTCCCAATGAATAGCGACTCGGATGCATCCCTTTCGAGAAACAAAATATCTCTCCATATTGTTTAATTTTTTCATTAAACTCAAGCCCAATTAGAACTACACAAATGATTGATATGTAGTCAATCTTGTTGTGTGGAAATATTGCTAGTTGGCTCGCCGGAAGTCAAAGGGTCAGCGGCACGAAGAAGCAGTTGGACAACTTCGTCCATTGTTGGGCGAGAAGATTTCTTTGTGTGTGTGCAATGCATTGAAATCAGGAGCACTTTAAGCATTCCATCTTCGAATGACTCTGAAATCCTTGGATCCAAAACCTCGAGTCCTGCTTCTTTGTTTACGACCTTGTTGCATATCCAATCAATGATGTGAATCCCCTCGCCGAATAACTCCTTTTCTACTGGCTTTCTTCCGGTTACTAATTCCATTAGCACAACTCCAAAACTGTATACGTCGCATTTGGTTGATGCCCTAAATGTAAGTGCATACTCTGTTGCATTTAGCACCCAAGATAAAAATCATGTTCAATCAATTATTTGTTTTTAAATTAGGACTAAATGATATGGAGTGCTTTAGTACCTGGGTCCATGTAGCCAAATGTTCCGGCAACAACTCCAGTTGTTATGGAGTTTTTCCCTCTTCTTTCTTCCAAGATTTTTGCAAGTCCAAAATCCGCAACTTTTGGATTGTAATCCCTGTCAAGCAAGATGTTGCTGGATTTGACATCGCGATGAATGATCGGGGCTGGATGATGATGGTGTAGATGGGCTAAACCCTGCGCTGCTCCGAGTGCGATCTGATAACGAATAGGCCAATTCAGAAGAAAAAAGCCTCCATGAAGTGCTTCCCAAAGGTTCCCATTTGGCATGTACTCATAAACCAGCAGATTTCCTGCTTCTGCACTTGAGAAATAGCAGTACAATTTCACAATGTTTTTGTGCCTTATGCTTCCTAAGGTGTCCACCTCAGTTTTCAGTTCCTTGTCTAAAACTAGTTGATCCTTAGTTTCAGAGACTTCATGTAGCCTACTATGCAACTTCTTCACAGCCACTGGAATTCCATTGCTCAACTCAACTTTGTATACAGTCCCGCAACCTCCACGACCCAATATTTTACCATCAGTCATGGACTGAATTATCTCTCCACGATGCGATATATTCACAACAGCCCAGAAAAAGGAGGACAATAATGTGCCCTTATTACTTGTTACTGTTTTATCTTTATGAAACCATAGTTTCAGAAACAGAATAATTCCAGGAAAAACAATTAGTGCCAGCACCCCAATCGGCAGCGTATACCTTGACATTGTTCGACTGCGCGCTTGTGCACAAATGCGGAATTCACTGCTGGACGAGATTAGATAGCTTTGATCTGAGGGGACGCAAAGGCTTGGGTTGCCAGAGAAGCCTGTTAGGTAATTGTCAAACACAAGTGAACGCGGTATAGCACCAGAAAGCATATTGCTTGAAAAGTTCATGGAGTTTGGCTTTATTTCAGAGAGGCTTTCTGGGATGCTCCCTGTTAAGCCATTACTAGACAGATCAAGGTAAATGACGTTACGAAGTGAAGATAATGATTTTGGGATTGAAGAATTGAACATATTATGTTGCAGGAGCAGAAAAGTGAGGTTTGTAAGATTCCCAATTTCAGGTGGGATTGGACCGGACAGGAGATTGTTACTGAGATTCATTTTCACAAGATTGATTGCTCCAGAGATTTCACCTGGTAAAAGACCTGATATTCTGTTGTTCTGCAAAAACAGTTCTGATAAATATTTTGCATTCCCAATTTTCCTGGAGATGGAACCATTTAGGCGGTTGTTGCTCAGGTCAATCGACGAAACACGTGGAAGGGCTAGAAGGGATTCTGGAAGCTTTGTCAACATGTTGCCTGAAATGTCTATGTCCCTTAACTCAATCATGTTACAAAACTCCTCTGGTATTTCACCTTCAAGTTGGTTGTTGCAGAGCTGAAGCGTTTGCAAAATTTTCAGTTGGCCTAATTCAGGGGGAAGCTGGTTAACCAAGAAATTCCCACTCAATTCGAGATGGATCAGGGAAGTCATGTTGCCAACTGATGCTGGGAGTTTTCCATGTAGGTTACATGACGACAATGTCATATTCCGAAGCTTAGTCAACCTGGAAACGTTCTCTGGTAGTTCCCATTGATCAAACCCCAGATTTTGATTGAAGGACATGACCTCAAGATTTGTCAGGTTTGCGAGCCACATTGGAAACTTTCCCTGTAAGAAGTTCCCGGACAAGTCCAGCAATTTTAGAGATTGCAAAGATGATAAGTCCGGCAACGTCCCACTGAGGCTAGATGAGCTCATGTTCAGCTCTTCCAATACAGAACAATTGGTGACACCGAAAGGGAAGCTGCCCTGAAGATTATTGCCACCAAGCCGGAGAATTTTCAGTTCAGGCAAATACCGGCATATGTTCTCAGGTAACTCGCCAGAAAGCCCCCAATGAGAGATATCAATCATCTCAATGTTGCTTCGGTTGTTACATTGAATCCCTTTGTAGATGCAAAAGCTGATTTTGGCTTTGTACATCTTCCAGTAAGACAAACTTTGCCCTGAGAAAGACCTGTTCATATCTGTGAAGAACTGAGATTGGTTTTCAGCTACAATATGTTGGCAGCAGCAGATCAAGAGAACCATTACCAGGAAAGTGGAAACAAAATGGTGAAGAGCCATGAAAAATGAATTAGTATTGGTCACTTAACTTTCTGTAATTATTGCTGATTGCTGAATTTAAGAATTGTTGTCACGAGGATAAAAGAAAAAGAGAAGAAAACTTAAGAAAAGCAATAGAAAACTGAGTAAAGGTTTGATGGGTTCTGCGGGGAAGTTTGAGGATGGAGAAGCCATGGACGATATTTGTGGTAGGCTAGAGAGAAAGTTCAAACCTGAGTAAACGCCTAAAAGTCTCGAAGTTCACAAGTGGCTATAATACATTTAAGGCCATATCCACAGTCCACAAACATGAACTCATGAGGTTCAACTAGTCAACACAGTACATTATCCCCTTGATTACGCTCTTTTGCGCTATTAGGAGTCCAGGTTTGGTTTGCATTTTGGTATTTTTTTTTTCTCTTTAATTTTCTTATTTAGGTATGTAAGAAGCCGTAGCCTGATGATTACGCTAGGCGGCGCTAGCACATTACGGGATGTGCTATCTCGTATATATATTCAATCGTGGATGAACACTAATACATCTACAAATGTGATAGTTAAGGTCTCGAATATAAGGTATATCGTCTTTGATAGCCAGTCTGTTACAAAATTCGTTTCCCTATATAATACGATTGTGTTCCAATTAAACTAAAGATTGGGTTATCTGAAATGAGTTGGAACCGTAGACCTATAATGAGCAAGAGGTTAAAATCTTACTATCAAATCACCTTCTACTTTTTGTTTGTTTTTTTGTTTTTGTTTTCTGCACATTTTGAGTGGCATACTGACATGACATGTACTAAACTTGAACCAATTGTCACTCAACCGAAGTCAAAAAAAAAAAAAAAAATGTCACTCACCATTCAGGGATTCTGCCAATATTGTTTTCCACACATCTTTCCGATTCGAAGTCTCTAGCTGAGAGGCCCAAATTGTCTACCAAATGGACCAACAGGGGTGGTTTGTGGAAGTTTGCTACTATTGAGACAATCTTCAAATATGAATTCATTTTCTTTCTTTTTTTTTTAATTCATTGTTAGGCTGAAAAGAAAATAACATTACCTTTTTTAAAATTTTTTTTTTTTTTGAAGAAAGATCAAATTTATTACTGGGAATCGCCTAGCTGCAATTGACAAAAAGGAGTGGTTCATGAGAAGACAATCATAAAAATTGCCTAATCCTTTTTGTCCTTTCCATTTTTGAAAGCTACCACATTTTCTGGATGAAAAATATATTCATTGGGCCAAAATGATTAAACTTTCATTTTTAATACAAATTATATTATAATAAAAATGAAAATCAATTAGGAGAATCATTTCTGAAAAGAAAAAAGGAGTATATAACACAAACCCAAAGATAGATGCAACTAATTTCTTCATAAACAGAAAACATCATTTAATTTCATTTTTTTTTTCTGATTTCTTTTGAACGATCATTATCATCATCATCATTATTATTATTATTATTAATATTATTATTATAATAATAATAATAATTATTATTATTATTACTATTTTTCTTTCGAACACATTTGGCTTTCCTCAATACTATAAGAGAACAACAGGTGTAAAACCACGTCTGGATTTACAAATTGGGGATTCAGGGGAATTGAACGTAAAATATACATGTTGGTGGCCATTCAGCTAATTAGTACGTAGAATTGGTGCCATTTCCCTTTAATATATCACTGCCTCACAGTTGCATAGTTTCCAAAGGAGCTGGTGTTTGAACATGTCCAAAAGGATGAGCTTCCACCTACAGTTGAACAACTTGGTTCATTGTTGGGCGTAGAGCTTTCTTACTGTTTGTGCAATGCATCGGAAGACGGAGCACCTTAATCATCCCCTCCTCAAATGATTCTAAGATACTTTGATCCAAAACTACAAATGCTGTTTCTTGATCTTATTCAATATCCAATGAATGATGTTATTTCCCTCTCCAAACCACTCTGTTTCCACTGGTTTTCTTCCAGTTACTAGCTCCATGAGCACAACCCCGAAGCTGTAAACATCGCATTTGGTCGACGCTCTAAGTGTGCGTGCGTACTCTGTTACATGAATTCAATCAACATAAGTTAAGAATGCATCTAATTAGGGATTGAACATCATACTATATTCAACATATCAAGGTAATTTAAATTGTTTTAATTAGTACAGGATGTAAAAAGTGCTAACCGGGGTCCAAGTAGCCAAAAGTCCTCGCAGTGGTGCCGGTTGTTATGGAGTTTTTCCCTCTTCTTTCTTCCAAGATTTTTGCCAGTCCAAAATCTAACACTTTAGAGTTAGTCACAACCAATTGGAAGGAAGTATTCCTGAAGGGCTTCTATCCCTTCCGCCTGTTTCAATCATTGACCTGAGTAATAACCGCCTGACTGGTTCATTCCCCGGAATAGTTGGAAATGAAAAAAATCTCTGATCTCTCCATGCAGAACAACAGATTATCAGGAATTTTACCTCCGGAAATCAGGCGAGCTATGAATCTGGAAAAGATTGATCTCAGCAATAATATCATGTCTGGTCCAGTTCCTCCTGAAATTGGTCACCTAAGAAAGCTTAACTTCCTACTCCTGCAATGTAACAAGTTTAACTCTTCCATCCCCAAGTCAATTTCTATGCTCAGTTCAACTTCTCGATCTCTCCAGTAATGTCTTGACTGGTAGTATCCCGGATACTCTGTCTCATCTCTTGCCAAATGTTCTGAATTTTTCAAATAACATGCTCTCTGGTCCTATACCACGATCATTTGTATTACAAAATCGGTTATCAAGTTTCACTGCTAACCCAAGCCTTTGCGTTCCAACAAATTTAAGCTCATCCGGGGGAGAATTTCCCCTTTGTCCACAAACACAAAACCGAATGATCTCTAGGTTAGTGTTGACTATTGGTTGCCCGTTCCAATTGTTTTCGCGGGACTTATCCTGTTTCTGAAGCTACGGTTCAAGAAAGATAAACCAGTTGTGGCGAATAAGCACTACAACAAAAATGGGCTACTTTTATGGTGGGACACTTTTCCTAAAATGTGTCTTATTATATGTGTATTAAGACATTTGCTAAAAAGTGTCTTATTGAAAATGAAAAAGTGTATTCATATTATGAAACACCATCATAAGTGTACTATTTGGGGTTGCTTGTGAACTATTACCTTACTTGATGGGTCATTTTAAAGTGTGTTAATGAGCGGCAATCTAATAATACACTTTCAAATGTTGTATGACTTATTGTGACTCGATTATAGGAGACACTATTTAGTAGTGTCTTACCCAATTTGAGTCACATGTGTCCTATTACACCATTTATTGAGACACAAAAAAGTGTCTAAACTACTTATTTTTGTTGTAGTGAAGGACACATTACTGTCCTCTTTCTTCTGGGATGATGTTGAAATCTTCCATCATCGGGAGATAATTCAGTACTTGATCGAAAGGAATATTGTGGGTTGCGGAGGTTTTGGGACAGTTTATAAGGTTGAGCTGAGCAATGGAGTGATAGTGGCAGTGAAGAAGCTGCAGAATTGAAAAGCTAAAGCCTCTAAATCCAAGGATCAAGTAGTTTTGGACAAGGAATTGAAAACTGAAGTGGATCCACTAGGCAGCATAAAACGTGAAATTGTACTGCTATTTTTCCAGTGCAGAAGGAAATCTTCTGGTTTATGAGTATATTCCAAATGGTAACCTCTGGGAAGCACTTCATGGTGGAAATACCCTTCTGAATTGGCTTGCTCGTTATCAGATTGCATTAGGAGCGGCACAGGGTTTAGCCTACCCACACCATCATCGCCCCTTTCCGATTATCCATAGAGATATCATGCAATATCTTGCTAGACAGCGAATACCAACCAAAAGTCGCAGATTTCGGATTGGCAAAAATATTAGGGGAGACAAGTGGGAAAGATTCCATAACCACGGGTGTTGCTGGAACTTTTGGCTACCTCGATTTAGGTAATTAGGCTTCCGTCTTTATTATAAAATATTTTAATTTGTCTTAAATTTTACTTAGTATATTTTTTTTATTGAAAAATATTTTTAAAAAATATATATTTTCACATTCATTATGTTCTCCTAACTATTAGAAAATATTTTTATAATTTTTTTTTTCAATTGAAAAAACATAATAAGTGAAACCTTGGACAAATTATAATACATTGTCCTTATGACATATGATCTTCTGTAACATTTTTTATGACACTCTCTATGACATTGGTTACATAATTGACACGTGTTAAAATGATTAATTACTAACACTCTAACCAAATGGTAGTGAACCCTGTTTGACAAGTGATTATATATGTGTTAAGATTTTTAGTTAATATCAAAGGGAATGTAATACGAAAGTGTCACAGAAGATCTTTTGTCCGTATAATGACTAGAGGGAATATTCTCGATTCTTGATTATCTATCAATTGGCATCTCTGTAATATGAGATAAGGAGTCTTTTTTTTTTTTTTTTTTTTTTTTTTTTGAAATGGAGGGAGTCTGTTATGTTTGTGTGGATATTGTTTAGATAAATGTAATTAACCTTTGGGCTCTTTGATGGATGTGTTTACAGAGTATGAACATATTTTAGGGCATCCACTAAATGCGATGTTTACAGCTTCGAAGTTGTGTTAATGGAACTAGTATCAGGAAGAAAACCTGTGGAAGTTGACTTATTTAGAGAAGGAAACAACATGATTCATTGGGTATTGATTAAGGTAGGGAACAGAGAAACAGCAATTGAGGTTTATGATCACCGGATCTCAGAGTACATTCGAGGAGGGAATGATTAAGGTGCTTCGACTTTCAATGCATTGCACAAACGGAAACAGAGCTCTTCGCCCGACTATGAACGCAGTTGTTCTACTTCTGATTGATGCTAACCCTTTTGCATCAGTTCCAACTGCAGGACCTTCAACGTAAGAGGCAAATTCTGGGAACGAACCTTTTTTTTTTTTTTTTGAATAAAAATTCTGGGAACTTACTTGCGTGTTGTAATTACTCTTGAATAATAATGCATAATTTAACATCAGAAAATAAAATATTTTAAGAACACCTATGTAGTTAATGAAAATTCTAAGATCCCATTGCTTATTTTGAGGGTATGGTCCCGTTAGAATTATCCAATAGGGAAGTGACACATTACTATGATATTAAAATTATTTAATTGTTTAATTTTTTTGTGATCTTTGGGGAAGTAAGCTTAACATAGTATCAAGTATACTTGCCAAAATTTTTAAAAATTAATATTTTACGAAACTTTCAACATTCGAAATAATAAAAACACTAATTAAATGTCCTTTTTTACTATATGTATTCCTCAAATATTCACATGCTATTGCACATTATTTTATAAAAGATTGCACACTTAATTTAATATCATAAGTTAGAAAACTTTCAACACTTTAAATAACAAAATCACTATTTAAGTTTCCTTTTTTACTATGTGTATTGCACAAATACATGCTATTGCACATTATTTTATAAAATATTGCAAACATAAATGGATAATTAATTACACCTTCGGTTATATGTCTTTTTATTTTTATTGTAAGTAAATAATAAATATCCAATGCACTTTTGAGGATGCTATTGCATACTGAATAAAAATACATTTCACGTTTATTTTTCAAGTAATTGCATTATACCAATATTTACCATAATTTTTAATTAAGTCTTCTGATTTTATTTCTACATTGCAAAAAATAAATATGTTTGATTGCACATTTGCTCATTAGAAATTGCACCTATATTTATACATGAATGCAAATTGGCTAATAAAGTATTGCACCATTTCTTATATAAGTAGTTTTTTTTAGTAATTTCACTTTTTTATTTACAACATTACTTATAAACCTTATTAACCGATTATTTACGATTATGTTAAATAATAGAATTTTATTTAAATTTACTAAGATTAAGGATTTTTTATTTTATTTTTTTCAGTATCATAATAGATATACAAACATTGCACCTTTGAGTATACTATTGGAAATTCAAAAAGATTGCACTATGTAAACCCAAAAAAAAAAAAAAGAAAGATTGCACTATCAAAACTTATTATAACGATCAATTAATTTTATTGGTTGCATATTTGGTCATTAAAAATTGCATAAAAAGATTGATACATGATTACACACTCCCTAAAAAAAATTGCACTACCTCTTATGTATATTTTAGCACATGACCAACAATTAGAATTAAATTTAGTATAAAGATAGATACATTTTTTTTGAAGACTTAGATCACGAAAAAATATATACTAAACAATTACATAGCAAGTTTGTAGTAAAGAAGAATCAGAAAATATCCTCAAAATTTTTCTATGTAGTGATATTGGAAAAGTTCTAAAACAAATCGCATCATAGTCTGATAAAAAAAAAACACATGAGACGATTCAAAAAGAAATAAAACAACAGAAGATTTTAGGAAAAGTATAAATCACAATTAAGAAGAAATCATTTTTTTTTTACAAAAAACTCCTAAAGAATGATGACAAAATGCAGCCTAATGATAAGACGCTTCACTTTTGGCCAATAAGTCACGGGTTTAAGTCACACTGAGAGTAAGTGGAAAACTACTATTAATCCTCTTTTAAAAAAACAAGAAATAAAAAAAAACTCCTAAAGAATAACAAAAATGGAAAAATGGAACGACAGTATATGTATAAAAAGGGAAATAAAGGAAGGGAAAAGGAGATGACCAGATGAGGAGAGAGGGAGAAAAGTCTCCATTAAATTGCATTCCTTATATAAATCATTTGGCAACCGGTTACCTTTTTTATTTTTTATGCATTTAATATAAATTATATGATTGTGATCAATTTAGACTTATTTAACGACTATTAATTAAATAATGAGACTATAGTATTATACCCTTAAAATTAAGAATGAGACTATGGCTTTACCCAGTTAAGGAAAATTCTAGTGAATGGAATATTTTTGTGTTTATATTTTACTTCAGCAATCCAAAATAAAAGAGTGTTGTTTGTTGTAATACTTTTTTGGTAGCTATCTCCATAATTTTTTTATTAGTACAATAAAGGAGGCACAAATCCTAACATCAACATATGACATTACTAGAGTATATTATCTCAACACATCATGTTCGAACTACGGTTTAACCTCAACGGTGGAGCATAAATCATCGTGATTCACCCAAATCTTGTGTTGTTAGTCAAACCAAATAATCAGATGTAAAATCAATCTCTCAAAACACATATTTAAAACCAACTTCCTAATTTATCTTCAACATCTCTAGGATATCTCTCACTATTCCGGCATTAAGTCCAAAATCTTGATAATAATTGTGAAGTTATTAGATTGAGATCTTTACACGAGATCAATTTAGAGTTAAACTATCCAAATTCTAATCGCATCATTAATCATCGTTACGTCAATCACGTGGTAGAAAAATGAAAAAAGAAGTTCTCATCTAGGGGCTTTAACTGAAACAATATATAAAAAAAATATCGTCGACACCACAATTAATTTAATTTTATTGGATAGTTTCATCATTATCGCATCTTGAAGAGTAATCCGATCCATTGCATCATGTATCACCAAAAGTTGGTGGCAGTAATTCATCCATCCATCACGCTTTTGTGGGGGAAAAAAAGGAAGAAAAGAATGGAAAATGAAAATAGCCAGTTTGGTGTGGTGAGAAATCGTAACCAAAACTCTGCAAATTGTAAGTGTATATAATAAGATCCAAAAAAAAGGGAGAAAAATATCAATAGTAAATTTGAGGCAATATCACATACATTTCAAAAACTAAAATCAAAGCCAGGCTTGAAGCAAAAGTGGTTGCTTTTAAACTCCTTACATTCCTATGCAGCTAGTGGTTGCTTTTAAACTAAGACTTGAAGCAAAAGTGAGTGAAGAAAATTTACCAAAAATCAAAGGTAAAAAAGTTTAGGCTAATTTAGTCATTCTGATGTTTTCCTTTTAATCATTTTCTCTCGGTGTTAGTCGTCATTTTATTTTTCCTGTCGCGTTGAAAATCGTATAGCCACTCGAAAAGCATGCAATTAGCTTTAAGCAAGGTGAAATTGATTAACCTAAGGTCACGGCAGAAAAAAAGATAATTGGCTATGGTGGTAAAATAGAATTCGTTCGTTGATGATAGAAACTAATTGGTTCGTTAAAGTTACACACCATCTATTTTCAGTGTTGTCAGATCGGGATTTAAAATCAGATCGGTATCAATAAGGGGTCACTGGGTTATTGGATTAACTCCGTTAGTTCGGAACAAAAACCGGGATGATGTCATCAAGATGTCAAAAATACATATTTATTATAAATATATAAATAATAATATAAAATGTTTCTTAAGTAAAAAATTCAAGTTCAAAAAAATCTCAAAGGAATGAATAGTTGAATTCTACTATTGATTTACTACTATTATTACTACTTAAAAGTACACGAGAGAAAAAAAAAAAAAACTAAAAGAACACAAAAAATTTTCACAATAAAAAAATTCAAAAAAATTAACTCTAAGAAATAAAACTGGATGATGGGGATTGGATTTGGGGGTTGGTGTCAGGCGTTGGACAGCAAATCAGAAAAACATGAAAAGAAAAATGCTGTTTTTGGGGGAAAAAGTAAAAATAAATAAATAAAAAATAAAAATGAAACCCAGGTCAACCTGTTCATACCGGTTTACGGTCCAACCGCCGATCTTGACCGAATTTGACCGGTTAACTACTGTAACAGATCAGGTTCCTGATCGGACCGCTTTATATAACGGTTCTCGGTTGAACCGGCCGGTCCGGTCCGGGTCTGACAACACTGTCTATTTTGACAAATCTTGCAAATAACAGCGATGATTGGTCGGATTTATCCCTATCTCCAACGGATTGTATTTTTTTTATTTTTTTTGAATTGGTCTCCAACGGATTGTAGTGTAAATAACCTTTGCAACTTTCTTGATATATTATGAAAGGTAGACATCTCAAAAATTTAAACAGTAACACCAAAGATTTAAAATTGTTTCATATCATGGCAGATTCAGAATCAATATATTAAAAAAAATAAAAAAAAAAAGAAAAAAGAAAAATCATTTCACCCGTCGCAACTCAAGAAGTAGTAGTTGAGGAAGAGAGTGAAAAGTTTACAAAGAATTGAGCCCATCTCTGAAAATGGTAGTGAAAGCATCCATTTTGGGCTTGGGAATTGAGAGACCAACTTCCAGAACTCCATCAGGATCTCTGCAACCATGGAGAGAAATAGCACCCGTAAGATCAATCGAAACAAACTCAAATTTCACGGCCTTTCCCCAACCAAAGTCCAAATTGTAATAACTGAACTTCGGGGAGCCTGCCACTCCAACATTCCTAGCCCATTTCTCCTCATGCAATTCATCCATCCAACGTTCAGCTCCAAGGAATAACGTTTCACTGTTTTCCAGCCTTTCATGAATGGCTTTCCCGATCAGTTTCACCGCAGTTTGGAACCCTCCTCCTCCGGCCAGTTTCCCGTGCTCTGTTTCTATCATACTGGGTGTTATAAAATTTCCAAAATAATTTTCCGGCAACGGTGGATTCATTCGTCCCCGGCACTCGGCCGGAAAGGCGAATAGTTCCGAGTCTTTTGCACCGATCTCTTCTCCGCTTGGAGCCCGAGATTTCACAAGACATGTCCAAACGTACGCGGCGGTAACCGTGAATGATGATAGATGAAGTACCTTTTCGCCGTTTTTCGCGGCTAAGCTCTTGAGTTTGTCGATGTCCTTCCGGGTGATGACAAATGTTTTCCGGACATTGACGTTGATTTTGTTCATGAATTCAAATACTGGAAACCCATCACCCTTTTTCATAAATTCGATTATGGCATTCCATTTTTGCAAGAAAATTGAGGCAATCCCTTTCGGGTCTTTGACTACAGTCCGATCATAAAATGGTAGATTTTCACTTCCAAGTGTTTTTGCAGAAACAGAGTCTCTGTCTTCCTGGAGAACTTGAAAGCTCAAATTAGCCCATGTCTTCATGAATTGAAAAATAGTACTGGCATCTCCGACAGCGTGATGGTTCGAAATTCCGATGGAAATGCCGGAATTCGGAAACAGAGTCACCTGAATGCCAAGAACCGGAATGATTTTATCCGAACCCGAATCGGAATCAGCGTCATAGCGAGTTGGATTAAACAGCGCTGGAACTAAAGATCGATATGGAAGACATTTTCTGGCCTCATCTGCTGTTGCTGTTAAGTAACTGAAATAATCAACCTCGTTACACTCGGAAATGGTTAACGCCACTGAATCTCCTTGAAGGTAACGAATTTCGGGCAGTCTCGGAGTCGAATCAGAATTTGAACCCGAACCCGAAGGAATTATGAGATTACCTGCTAGAGGTAGAAACTTTTCCAGGGCGATCGAGAGAGAAAGTTCGAGTTTCGGAACAATGTGTTCGACGAAATGGGCTCTGGAAAGGTTGGGGATTTCGTAAAACACGAGTCGTTCAATGGGCAAGAAATACAACCAAAACATATCGATGAATGTTAGGGGAAGTGACATTTCTGCGGTGGAGGACGACGGCGGTGGTGAGACTGAGCTCCGCTTGACCACCGTCACTGGTTCGGCTGTGGAGGCCATAATTTTTTTAGATTTAAGGCTGAGCTTGAAGTATTTTGTATGAATTCGGTACAAATTGTATTGAACAAAACTTTCTTGTGGATCTTACGATTTTTGTTGTTGATTTAAATAACAAAATGAACATTGATTTGTTTGGGGTATGGAGTGACTGAAATATAATACTACTAATAAATGAAAATTGATATTTTAGGTAAGAAGTTACTAGCTATTATTAATCACGGGATTCAATTGGCATTGGAATTGTGACGAAATTGTACTAGTATTATTTAATGACCGTTTTTTGGAAATCTGACCATGCCAAGAGGATTGTGTGGTTATAATACTAGGATATGGATCATTCAATGCACATCGTCCAGGACGGACCCTTATATTACCTGATAACTCAGAACTGACAAGTATGTACCATAATGGAGTACAACTTTGAAATACTGGAATTTTGCCAATCATATTAAACAGTATCATAGGAATTACCACAATTAATTTTAAGATAGTGCAACGTTCTAATCTTTAAGTAAGATTTGTATATGCTACCTAACGTACGCCTTAGAAGAAGATGAGATTTACGTGTAAGAGTTTTGATGGTGAGCTCTAAAACATCAAGGTCCATTCACATTTTCATTTTCATAATTTATATTTTGATAACGATGATGATGGAGTGTGGGAATTAAATAACAGTCTAGCGCTTAGGTTATTGTCCTTTCTGGTAATACACCAGGGTTCGATTCTAAAGAGGGTTTATCTATATTTAAGTGGTGTTCACTGGGGTGGCGATGACGATGGAGTGCAATAGTTAATTGAACTTTAGTTATAAAATCTTCTAAGAAATTTTAAGGTTAACCTCCCATATGAATGAGCATAAAGATAAATTCTATTTATGTTTCATTTTGGGAAAACATTGATGTTAATGATTGTCCATATCATGCATGATGAATTTGGTGATTAATTGACGAGCTTAAGCTTTTGCCAGGCTGGAGAAATTCTCTGGGAAATCCCAAAAATTAAATCTCACGTTTCGATTAGAAATTAACATTTTCAAGATTTTGTGACGATTTTGTGAGATACAATTAATGGGAAACTTTCCCTATAAAAGGAATTATATGTGTACGACGAGTACAATAATCTCAAGGATTTTAAAGGCTAACGTTCCTCCGAGATTAGTATGGCTTATGTACTCCAGCTCACAACTTGTGTTACCAACAGGGAAGCCATCATTGAGAATCTTCTGATCGACACGACGAAGAACAAGCAAATGAGGAAGATATCCACAAAATAGCAAACTGGCCTGAGAGCATTTACCCCTCAAAAAACATTTTATATATATTCCCAATAGATAATATTTTACCTCGCAGAAAACGTTTATATTCTCACATAAAGTCATATTTATAAATATCATTTTAAAATGAAACGTTAAGAGATATTAGTCCCCTTCGTTGCAGTAAGGCAACATTTACCTTGCAAAAAACATTTTTATTTGCAGAATAAAAGTTATGGTTGTAAAAATCGTTCTAAAGTTTTTCTAAAGAGAATCTATGTTACTTTGTTGAATGATTTTAGTTTTCCAGCATCTGGACAAGACCATTGGGGGGGGGGGTGTGGAGGTGGGGAGCTTTCCTAGTTAGGGCAAACATGTACTACGAAGCATCTTTTTACAAATGAAATGATGTCCTTCAAAAAAACTTATGCGGCGGAGCTAAATTTTTTGATTTGCATTCAGACGTATCATTCTATTTCCATTATTTTAAAGCTTTTGAGAACATTGGACTCATTGTCTCCCCAAAATCAAAGCTTCGGGAAGCATGAATCACACAATGAAATGACAACAAAAACACTTTGATAAGATTGTTTTAAAATAGAATTATGCATTTGAATGTACTTAAGGAGATTGACGAGTACAAATTGATACGGCCCGCGACTAGACCAGTCCAAGTTCGGTAAGCAGTTCAATCGGCCCTTAGATATTTCTAAGGCGGTTGTTAATTGCTTTTCTACCAAGAAAAATGTTTCACAAACAAGTAACCCCAATTCTATAAATAGAGATCAATTCCTTATATCAAAGGGAGGCTCTATGCACCACAATTCATACTCCTATTACAATTACTCTTACTGACCGGAGTGTCTACCCTCGGAAGACCATGAGTTCCTTTTTTTGCAGGTTTTAGAGTTTCGATACTGCCATGGCCGCCGGTTCAATCATCTAGAGACGACGGTGCAAATCTATGTTTCATCAAGTGGCACACCCAGTGGGACCTGTAGGGTTTCCCTTCTGAACAAATTTTCTTTAATCGTCAGAGTTACACGGACCATACATCTCCTCCTCAACGATTAAAAAACATCGGGTGGCAATTCTCAGTCAGACTACTCTTCCTACACATTTTAATTTGACGTGTTGACAACTGCTTTATTTCTTTTATGCGAGTTATCAGTATGCCATGATACCACTCTTACATGTTCTCGGTTCGTGCAAATTTGTGGTTAAGCCTTATTAATTAACCCACTACCTTTAAGCAGCTTGGTTGTTTCTTTGTTTTTCATGCATAGTTGATCACGTCAACTTTCTTGATCATGCATGCAAATTAATCATTAACAAAGTTCCCTTAGCAACCACTAAAGGATCTATTAAATACCTCACGTATATTGTTGTCCTCATAATACTCGCATTTGAAGCCTTTTAATTGTAAAGGTGGATTTTTTAATTAATTTGTAGTCTTGAAGTATGTATTCCTGTAGCCCAAGAAGCAACCATGATATACGTTCAAGCTTTAACATGTCCAAACATCCAGATTGTATGTCCCGAATTAAATATTGATCATGATTTGGTTGCATACATTAAAGTATACATGTAATTGCATCTGAAGCTTTTATGCCACCATCGTGAAGCTAATGCATAAAACAGCACCCCTTCTCTATGATGCCAACTAGTGATATCCCTAATTCTTTTGTGCTTTTCAATTTCGTGTTCTTTCGAGAGTGTATAATCTATGCAAAACCTCTCACCTAATGAACTTAATCACAAACTCAATCTTTTGTGATAATTAAAAGTATCTTTTGATATAGATGGATGTGTCTTTGCTTTAGCTCAATCGGATATAGTACCCTTTACGTAAGAACCAACTCCATTATTTTCATTGTCTCTAAATTGTCATGACTAATCAATCATGTAGTCTCAATGGTTCAGTGACATGTAAAGCATGCACATAATGAATTCCTTTGACACATAGACATTGACGTTGGTTTCTTTATTTGAGTATAATTGTTTTATTCTTATCAGCCATGATTTTTTACGATAAGTCTCTTTTATTTTTTACGATACGTCTTTTAAGCTTATGGTTGACTAAGGAAATTACTGCCTGTCAAATGGGCATTCGAGAGACTACACAGTCTCCTCGAACCAAACAAGATCGAGATGCAAATCAGCCAATGAGGGCTACGAAGCCTCTAGTAACGACACAAATCCAAGCAGCCACAGTCGCTCGACAAGGATTCTAAATCTTCTGAAAATTATAAAACGGTCCTCAGTGATTTTCTTATTTATACTCGGACGCTAAATCTTCTGAATGCGCAGAATGGCTCCTGAATCAAAGGGCATACTTGGAAGAAATTCTCTTTAACTAAGCAGAATTCATGATTCAGTCCTTTCGGATATTCTTTATCATCCTTGCCTCTAATGGTTTCATTGTTTTTCACACAAGTCCTAACTTTACAGCGAGGGGCGACCTGATATCTCGAAGGTCATATCTCCTTGAAGAGGCACACAACGTCCTCGAGACTCGAGTACAGGGCCACTAGTTTATTTCCAACAGCACAAACTGAAACATCCCTTCCTATATAATTGCACGAGACAAAGGCTTCAATGACAGATAAGTTTATCGTAGCCTTTTATTACATATAAGTCCTTGTCATACACCATTGCCTTCCAAACTTATTCACTTTGAGGGTAGCAAATTTATGTCTCAAGCATCATTATGCATGTACACATATTATGCTTCCCTGATTCTATGGTTGCTACATAATCATAGTAGTAGCATGTCAATTGTATGTTACCTAATAAGGTTTTTGTTTTCACATACTTATAATAGTCAATACCTCTTTGCCATCACAGCAAACATGAAGGTTTTTGACAAGTTTTTCAATAACATTACAAATTGAATTGCATGCACAGCTCACCAATTTCGGGGTACTACTTTGCCCCATTCTTATATCAAAACGTGACATTCACATGCTTACTTCATTTTAAGCCATGCACAATTCTTGTATGTTCGCTATTTGAACAGCTATGCAAGCATAGCTCGATTTTTCGAGGGACAAAGGGCACATACAGACGTGATCACTCAGATTAGCCCTATAATAAAGGTGGAGATGATCTTCTCCACTGATTTGAAAAGGGATAAGTAGCCCTAAACTTACTTGTGCCACGTTACCATATTTCTAGCCAGACTTCTATAACGAATGCAATCTTGAATATGTGTGCCTGCTTTGAGGAGATCTAATGAAATATGAAGTTACGATAACCTGCCCGAACTTGGCGCAGTTGTACTACTTAGTTTTGGAGGTCTAACAATAAGACAATTCAAGTAGCATCCTTCTCGAACTACGACGTGACCCATTCCAAGGAGCAATGATCCATTCGGAAGGGAAAGGAAGATAAGTGTTATTATCTCCTCGACGTTAACATGTTCCATGGCTATTATCTCCTTGTATAAATAGCATATCATATGAATTCATGTCTCAAATCACATACGTATCCTATTCTCCATACATGCAATGAGTGAATTTGTTAGTTTTTGTATCATTTCATTCATGATCAACCATTACCTAGCCCTCACAAGCATCAATTCTTAAGGTAAAATCACTGTGTCGTGACATCTATACTTTCTCGAGTGGAGCCTAATTGCTATTCGCAATCTAGATCTTGACCATAGCACATCATGTCAATTGCCTCCGTATTTATCGAAAAGTTGTTATGATCTTGAGAATAGTAACGCAGGACCTTTTATCATATAGGCATGTGCAAGTTTTGGGAGAACTTCTTCTTATTTTTGCAGAACTTGCAGAAATGTGAGAATGGAGATAGCCGCTCTATGATGCGAAATTGTAATCAGGCCACAGTAGCCTCGAACAAATAAAAGACCAATACACGGTGCACGTCAAGAATGAGCTC